GCGTCCCTCACCACTCCCGCCCGGCCCGCCTGCCGGCCTTCGGCTCCACCGGGGCGTTGGGGGCTCCGCTGTCGAGGTGCCCGTGGCGCAGATGTGCACGAAGCCACGGACAGAGGTGACTCACACGGTCCCCGACCGGAGTATTTATTTACCCTTTGTTATCCGAAGGTTTCTCTGAGACAGTTGCTTAGAATGTACCTGTGTCTTGATAGATTTTTCTTTCGGGTGGGACTGGTGCCCCACTGCAGCTGAGTCCCGAGAACAGGCCGGGTTGCCAATGCCTGGGAGGGGTCCCCAGCCCCTGCTGGCACCGGCCTCCTGGTCCCTCTGGCTCTGCTGCGGGGAGCGCTGACCCGCCCCCAGCCGGCTCGCCACGCTGCTGTGGGCACGAAGCCTCCCAGCTTCACTAACACAGCGATGCCCGGCCGAACAAGCCTTCATCGCGTGTTACGTCGAATCAACGTGCACAAAATTAATATTCCTGGCCCCGCGGGTGGGGAGGGCCGTCCGTCAGGGGAGGCTGCCATCCCACGCGGCCGGCCTTCCAGGGAGCCCCGGCCACCCTGGTTTCAGCCTGCGTCCTGCCACCAGAGCCAGGCCGTGCGCCCCCGCCCCCGCCCCCGGCCCGGCCCGAGCCCTCCGGGTGCCCCCCGGTTCCTGGAGCGCGGCAGAGTCCAGCACGGCTGCCTGGAGGCTCCTGGCCCTCCTCTCTCTGTGCCCGGAGGCTGGGGCCTCTGTCCCTCCGGCAGCTGGGCGACGTTCCTCGTGGCTCTGGGTGCCCGGGCGGGCGGACGGAGACAACACCCGTCCTCCGCTGCGCTGCGGCCCCCCGGGCCCCGGCCGTGGGCAGGGCCTCCGCCGGAGCAGCCCTCTCGGCCCCCCGCCACACCCTGGCAGAGGCCCCGGGCACTCAGCCCGCGCGCCCTGGCGTCGCCCGGCGCCCTTGCCAGGCGTCCCTCCACCCGCGCCGTCCCCGGCCTCCCCCGTCGCCTCGCCTGCTTGCCACAGGGGAGCCTCCTCGTGGGTGCCACCCCCTTATCTGCAGGCGCTTCCGCTTGGAAGCGGGTCTGTGCTCACTCCTCACGAAGTCCTGGCTTTTACAGACACAGGGGCCGGGGGTCACGGGAGCTCAGAGACGGGAGGCCGACCTCGCGGTCCCTTGAGCGGCACCGGGCAGGACGGGCCCTGCCCAGGCGTTCCCGGTCTGTCCCTCAGTCCAGGGCGGGGCCTCTCCGTGCCCGGGCCCGCGCCCTCGGGGACAGCCCTCTGGGGGGCCCTGCCTGCCCCCGACCGACTGTGATCCGGAGGCTTCTCCCGGCAGAAGGCAGGCGGGGCGCCGGCGGCTGGCTCCGGCTGGCGTCGGGGCGCAGGGGGCAGGGCGGGCCTGTCTCAGAGGCTGGCAGTGAGCGTCTTGCTGCTGAGTGTCGCCCCCAGCGGACGTCCTGGCCGAGGAGACAGCGAGTGCAAGTTGCTCACCTACTAAGTGCAAAACTGCGAGGATGGAGAACGGGCTTTGGCCCTTGGGAGCTCAGAGGGCGACACGCAGACGCCGGAGAGCAGCCAGGGTTCGAGGGACGGCTCCCCGGAGCGACGCTCCCCAAGGCCGCGGGCGGCGCCGTCAGGCCTGGGGGAGGCCGTGCCCGCCCGGCCCCCACGGAGCACAGCGCCCTGCGGGCAGGACGGCGGGGCTGCTGCTTGTGCCCCGACCCCCCAGTTCGCCCCCACTGCCCCCGCCCCGTCCGCCCTCCCAGCCTGACCCAGGACACGAGCTGCCCCGGGGCCCGGAGCCCCCCGGTCGCCAGGGACACCGCTCCTCGGTGCAGAGCGGAGCAGGCGGGGTGACATGGGGCTGCGTCGCCCCGAGCCAGCCCGGAGGGAGGGCCGGCACGCGTGCGTGCGCTGCGCCTTTTCTCGGGAAACCAAGGCCGAGAGAAGGGAGAAGAAAGGGCCTGCCCCGCCCCCGTCCATGTGTGGGTCGGGGGCGGCTGTGGCTTGTGGAGGGGGTGACCGCCGCTCCGAGGGCGGCGCTGCCCCCGGGGGTGGGTGCGCGGCCAGGACCCGTGGGCCGGGTGTGCGCGTCCGCCCCTTCGTCCCCGCGGTCCCCCGTCTTTTGTCCTTCCTCACAGCTTTCTGCCACTCAGTCACCCAGAGTGGACCGGGTGTTCCGGGGTGCGGGGTGCACCTCGTGCTTCCACGTCGGGGGAACCTTAGCTTGGCCTGAGGAAACACCGTCCCCCGGGGGTCTCAGAGCCGTGGCCGTTTGGACGGGTGGCGAGGTCCCTGGCCTGGCGGTGAGCGAGAGCACTCCGACGGGGCCTCGGAGACCGCGCGGGGCCGGGGCGCGCTGGGGGCGAGGCCGGGGCTCCCCTGCCCCCGGGCCCCTCTGCACCGAACCTCTGCGACCTTCCTCAGAGAGGGGCAGGATCCCGCCATGGAGGCCGGCCTTCCTCTTCTTCCCCTATCAGTTCCCTCCTTGGCCGCTGGGCTGGTCTCACGGACCCCGCGGTGCTTTACCCAGCAGGATGGGACGGGCGGGGCTGGGGGGTGGGGCTGTGGCAGCCTGCGCCGCGGGCAGGCCTCCGGTCTGCGCCCTGGGGCCACGCGTCCCCGGGGGGCGGGGGCTGGCGAAGCCACGAGGGTCTCCCTTAGCTGGTGGCCTTCGCCCCGTGGGCTCTTCCACGCCCTCCTCTGGCCTGGCTTCTCCCGGCTGGCTCCGTAGGGGCTGCAGGGGCCGCGTCTGGATTCCTGCCTATCCCAAACTGTTCGGGGGGTCGGGGGGGTTGTCGTGGGAGCAGAGCGCCCAGGGCGCGGTTCATGGGCGTCCCCGGGGGGTGAGCTCAGAGACCCGTCCCTGTTCACGGGCCGGGCTCCAGGGAGTGCAGCCCCGCTGGGTGCCGAAGCCCATCTGCTGTGTCCCTGCCAGGACCGAGGGGAGTCCCGGGGTGCAGGGCTCTCAGGGCTCAAGCCGAGGCCACTCCAGGCAAACCATTCCTCGGGCGCCCTCCCCTGTGACGTGCCGGCCGGCCGTCGGGCGTGTGAGCTGGGCGTGCAGACTGTGCTGGGAGCTGAGGGGCCGGGGGGCTGTGCGATGCCGCTGCACCTTCCTTCTCCTCTTCCTTTGCCTGGACACACAGTCCCTGTCCCCGCCGCGGCCGGCCAAGCAGCCCCCAGCCAGCACCGCGCTCTCAGTCCCCTTGGGCCCCGGCCCGAGGGAACGAGCTTGCTGGCCGCTTTAATTTGCCATCTCTGAGTGCATGGCCTCAAACATACCGTTCCGCTCAGCATGCCACACCTCCGGTGACCCGGGCAGGCCCCCCCCCCCGGTCATTTGTAAGGGACACCTGTGGCTCTCGCTCCCATTTGCACGTGAGCAGTGTCCCTGCCGCCAAGGCTGCCCCTGGAGCACTGTCCCACTGTGTTGGGGCGTCACTGTGGTCTCAGCGGAGGGGGCTAGCACAGGGAGGGCTCAGGGAGGAGGCAGGAGAGCCCGCCTGACCGGAGGGAGCACAGGGACACGCCTGGGGGTCCTCCTGCGTCTGAGTCGATTTCCCTGCTTCCTCTGGTAGGGGAGTCACCCAGGGCCAGTCTTCGGTTATGGGCGGGAATTCCACAGATAAATTTCTTTCCTACGAGTCTGTCTGTGTTTCCAACCCACCGCGCAGTCCGTGCCGTAGCGTCCCTGCCTGACCCGCACGAGCCTTCCGGTGCACGCGGCCGTGGGGACAGGCGCGCGGCCTCCTCTCCTCCTCTGGCTTCACACGGCGGCCGAGCACAGGGCTCGCTGCCGCGGAGCCAGCACCGCGTCCAGGGCCCCACGCGGGTGGCGCCGCCGTGTCCCGTCCTCCGCAGCCCAGCTTGGCGGCCAGCAGCAGGCAAGCTCCACGGAGGAATAACCGGAGTCACTGGATGCAAGAGGAGGAAAAAGGAGCCGCGTCGCTCTGGGACTGCGCGCCTCCCAAGGCGCGCGTCCCCGGGGCTGTCCCTCGGGGACCTGCAGCCGCTCGGCCCTGCCCTCCACCTGCCCGGGGCGTGCGCGCTCGGTGCGCGTCCCAGCCTCCTGCTTCCGGAGAGGCAGGGTCCCTGCCGGAGGCCCGTGAAGCTGACGCTGAGTCAATATTGACAAAGTCGAGTCTAAAGAGCAAACACTTTGACATTTGTAAGGTCCACTGGAAGGTCTTGTATATATTTATACAGGGAGAATGAGCAGCGCATACCAATTGTCCTGAGCTTGCTGACATCACTCCGCGCGGACGGTGTGCACGCGGGCGGCCGGGGGCGGCGGCGTGGACGCGGGCGCGGGGCCGGGGCTGGGGCGTGGGCAGGGTCTCCCCTCCCGCTGGGAACCAAGGGCGCCCCTCTCTCGGTGGGACATGCGTGCCAAGCCTGGAGGAGACCTGCTCTTCCAGGAGGGAGGATGAAAAAATCCACAGAATCTCATTTTTAATTTATTTCAATTGCTGTACTTTCTTTTTACTTTGTAAAAATTTATTGATGTTTTTGTCCTTTATATTTATTAAAGATTGAGCCTCAAAAATGTAATGAGTAAAAAATGCTTGCTTAATTTAAATTGTGAATCTGTCTGTTAAGAAATGCATTAGGGGTAGGAGAAGCATAAGACATATTAATTGACAGACAGGAACTGCTGTCTCTGAGGTTGATACAAGTAATTTATTACTTTAGAAATGAATGCCACCTCCAGAATGTGCTTCATTAATTTCAAATTTAGTTTTAATTTCAAGCTGTTGCCCCTTGAGAAGAATAAGGTGGCAAATTATGTTTGAAGAGCAGATATTTTTTTGTACTCCAAAGAAACACCACATTGTAACTATTTAATTTTGCAAATAAATGTGCCCATCGGCTTTGCTGCATTTTCCTGGGAGCTGAGAAAATAGTTCAGGTAAGCCCGACACCCACTAACGCTTTCTCTTCTTTCTCTTCTCCCCCCGGTCTCTCTCCTTCCCGTGGCACCCGCCCCGCCTCCTCACCTGTCGCCACGGCAGCCTATGTCTCTGATGAGCTAAAGGCTGCCGCCCTAGTGGAGGAAGACCTAGACCCGGAAGAGAGCGCGGCAGATGGGGAGCCCTCGGCCAAGTACGCGTGCCCCGAGAAGGAGCTCAGCAAGGCCTGCCCCAGCTACCAGAACTCGCCGGCCGCCGAGTTCTCCAGCCACGACCTGGACAGCGAGTCGCACATCAGCGAGGCCAGCGACCGCATGGCTGACTTTGAAAGCGGCTCCATCAAGAACGAGGAGGAGCCCAAGGAGGTGGCGGCGGCGCTGGAAGACACGACCGTGTCGGACAGCCTGGAGCAGATGAAGGCCGTGTACAACAACTTCCTGTCCAACTCCTACTGGTCCAACCTCAGCCTCAGCCTGCACCCGCCATCCGCGGAGAAGCACCCCGGCAGCAGCAGCAGCAGCAGCAGCAGCGGCAGCAGCTGTGGGAGCGGCAGCTTCGACTGGCACCAGAGCGCTGTGGCCAAGACGCTGCAGCAGGCGCCGCCGAGCCGCGCCCTGCCCGAGCCCAGCCTCTTCAGCACGGTGCAGCTGTACCGGCAGAGCAGCAAGCTCTACGGCTCCATCTTCACGGGCGCCAGCAAGTTCCGCTGCAGGGACTGCAGCGCCGCCTACGACACGCTGGTGGAGCTGACGGTGCACATGAACGAGACGGGCCACTACCGCGACGACAACCACGAGGCGGACAACAACAACCCCAAGCGCTGGTCCAAGCCGCGCAAGCGCTCGCTGCTGGAGATGGAGGGGAAGGAGGACGCCCAGAAGGTGCTCAAGTGCATGTACTGCGGCCACTCCTTCGAGTCCCTGCAGGACCTGAGCGTGCACATGATCAAAACAAAACACTACCAGAAAGTGCCTCTGAAGGAGCCCGTCACACCGGTCGCAGCCAAAATCCTCCCCGCCGCTCGGAAGAAGGCGCCCCTGGAGCTGGAGCCGCCCAGCTCCCCGGACTCCACGGGTGGGACCCCCAGGGCCGTGCTGGCCGACGCGAACGACGCGCTCCAGAAGAACGCCAACCCCTACATCACACCCAACAACCGCTACGGCCACCAGAACGGCGCCAGCTACGCCTGGCACTTCGAGGCCCGCAAGTCCCAGATCCTCAAGTGCATGGAGTGCGGCAGCTCCCACGATTCCCTGCAGGAGCTCACGGCCCACATGATGGTCACCGGCCACTTCATCAAGGTCACGAACTCGGCCATGAAGAAGGGGAAGCCCATCCTGGAGACACCCGCCACACCCGCCGTCACCACGCTGCTGGACGAGAAGGTGCAGTCTGTGCCCTTGGCGGCCACCACCTTCACTTCCCCCTCCCATACGCCGGCGAGCGTCTCCCCCAAGCTGAGCGTGGAGGTCAAGAAGGAAGTGGACAAGGAGAAGGCAGTCCCCGACGAGAAACCTAAGGACAAGGAGAAGCCCTGTGAGGAGGAAGGCAAGTACGACGTCCCCTCTAAGTACCACTATTTGACAGAAAACGACTTAGAGGAGAGTCCCAAGGGGGGGCTGGACATCCTCAAGTCCCTCGAGAACACCGTGACGTCCGCCATCAACAAGGCCCAGAACGGCACCCCCAGCTGGGGGGGCTACCCCAGCATCCATGCCGCCTACCAGCTCCCCAACATGATGAAGCTGTCCTTGGGCTCGGCGGGGAAGAGTGCGCCCCTGAAACCCATGTTCGGCAGCAGCGAGATCCTGTCCCCCACAAAGAGCCAGACCCTGGTCTCCTCGCCCGGCAGCCAGACCTCGCCTGGGCCCAGGACCAACTTCCACGCCATGGAGGAGCTGGTGAAAAAGGTCACCGAGAAGGTGGCCAAGGTCGAGGAGAAAATGAAGGAGCCGGAGGGCAAGCTCTCTCCGCCCAAGCGGGCCACCCCGTCCCCCTGTGGCAGCGACGTCAGCGAGCCCATCAAGATGGAGGCGTCCAGCGACGGGGGCTTCCCGAGCCAGGAGCACAGCCCCAGCCCCGCGCGCGATGGCGGCAAGGAGGGGAGCCCCCCGGCGGAGCCCCTGGAGAACGGCCAGGAGCTGGGCCAGCCCGTGGCCAGCAGCCTGAGCAGCAGCACCGCCATCATCACGGACCACCCGCCCGAGCAGCCTTTCGTGAACCCGCTGAGCGCCCTCCAGTCGGTCATGAACATCCACCTGGGCAAGGCCGCCAAGCCCTCCCTGCCCGCCCTGGACCCCATGAGCATGCTCTTCAAGATGAGCAACAGCCTGGCCGAGAAGGCGGCGCTGGCCACGCCGCCGGCCCTGCCGCCCAGGAAGGCCGACCACCTAGACCGCTATCTCTACCACGCCAGCCACGACCAGCCCATCGACCTGACGAAGGGCAAGAGTGACAAAGGCTGCCCGGTGGGCTCGGTGCTTCTGTCGCCCACGTCCACGTCCCCGGCCACTTCCTCATCCACGGTGACAACGGCGAAGACGTCTGCCGTCGCCTCCTTCATGTCCAGCTCTCCGCTGCGCGAGAACGCCCTGTCGGACATATCCGACATGCTGAAGAACCTGACCGAGAGCCACGCGTCCAAGTCCTCCACGCCCTCCAGCACCTCGGAGAAGTCTGACCTTGACGGGGCGACTCTGGAGGAGGCGGAGGAGGCGACGCCCGCGCAGAAGAGGAAGGGCCGCCAGTCCAACTGGAACCCGCAGCACCTGCTGATCCTGCAGGCCCAGTTCGCGGCCAGCCTCCGGCAGACCGCGGAGGGCACGTTCATCATGTCCGACCTGAGCCCGCAGGAGCGCATGCACGTCTCCAGGTTCACCGGGCTCTCCATGACCACCATCAGCCACTGGCTCGCCAACGTCAAGTACCAGCTCCGAAGGACAGGCGGGACCAAGTTCCTCAAAAACTTGGACACGGGCCACCCCGTGTTCTTCTGTAACGACTGCGCGTCACAGATCAGGACTCCCTCCACCTACATCAGCCACCTGGAGTCTCACCTGGGCTTCCGGCTCCGGGACTTGTCCAAACTGTCCACCGAACAGCTTAACAGTCAGATAGCACAAACCAAGTCGCCCTCAGAAAAGCTGATGACGTCCTCCCCTGAGGAGGACCTGGGCACCTCCTACCAGTGCAAGCTGTGCAACCGGACCTTTGCGAGCAAGCACGCGGTCAAGCTGCACCTGAGCAAGACGCACGGCAAGTCCCCGGAGGACCACCTTCTGTACGTGTCTGAGCTGGAGAAGCAGTAGCGCTTGCTTCTGACCGCGACGCCGCAGTTGGCTTGGAGGGAGACGGCGGCCGGCGCCGTGAGGCCCCCCGCCCGGCCTTGGCCAGGCCCTGCCGTCACTGCAGAGCACGCCGGGCCGGACTGTCCTGTACGGCTGTCAGGTGGTTGATAGAGGTGCGTAATCAGCTGTTGTTACTGGTCCATAGGAAGGTTGAAACGCAGTGCTAAGTGTTTGGAACTCTGTGTAAATGGGATTTAGTCGTGAGCACCCCGGCGCTCCGAGCTGCATGCATCCACAGACCGTTGAATTCAGCGCGTGCGAGGAGCCCGGCGCGGCGCCCCTCGCGGCGGAGCGCGCCGGCGCCTCTCGCCCTTTCATCTTCAGCCCTCTGAGTACTTGGAAGCACTTTTGCATTCATTTGGTTAAAAAATAAAATAAAATGATAATAATGTATGAAGCTCTGTTTTTTAAACTCCTTACCAGCTTCGTTATAATAATATGAACCTCCATTTATGCAGGTCTGCAGGGGTATAACACGCCTTGAAATTTAAAAGAATATTATTTTCACATTGAAACATAGATGTATATATTGTATAGATTTCAGACTCTCTTATGAAAAATGTGATTGTGGTTCAATGACCTTTTTTCCCTGCATTTATAGCAACAGTGTTTTATGTACCTGCTATGCTCTGGGCATAAGCCGTGCCTGTGTATAGTGTATATTTCTTTTTCCTTTTTTTAAGGTCTATGGGTTTTGTTTTTTACATGCAAACATTGTAAATTATACAGAAGATACCACAGATAGCATTTATAAAGTATACAGAAACATTATCTGAAAGCAAAGTATGATTGTTTGTTTTGCTACACAGTACACCTATATTGATAGAGGTTCACATTTAAATTATACATATTTATTAGCACCACATTATCATTTGTTTTGAGCAGTCTGAATAAATGAGGCCAGGCACGGACGACATCTACGGCAGCAGCAGCGTAACTATTTTGCACATCGTTTTTAAAGGTATTTATTAGAAATCAAAGAATGCTCAAAATAAACTCAGTGCTCAAAGGGTTAAGTCTATTTGAAAACGAAAAAAAAAAGAACAAAAAAAAAAAAAACAGAGAGAGAACTGGTACTGTATTTCCTAAACATTGATAAAGCCTTTAAAATGTTTGTACTGTAATACTTTGCTTAAAAGTCACGCGGCATCTGGGACCCGCCTCCCCCGCCTCTTTCTGGGCCCTCCCGGTTGCAGGTCCGTTTGCGGGACGCCTTTTTGTTTCAAATGGTAACTTTCTGTTTTCTTCTCCTAATTATTCTCCCAAGATCCCACACTGCAGCTTTATCTTTAGGCTTATGAAAGGTAACCCGTGGTTACCGCTCTCCGAGTGCGCCCGCTCCTCTCCGTTTTTGGCAGTTAATTTGCGGGAGTAACTGACAGCTGACACGCGAGGAGAACCTATGTGTAAAATAGCGGCATGTAAACAGCACAGACACTGTAACACACTGTGTGCCCTGTTTTGTTGTTGACAATGAACCACCATTATGTGACTCTTCATATAACCCTTTTTTCTACGGCAGCATTAAAATCGTCTTTTTGCTATAATTTTGTGTTGCGTTCACAATTATGTCTGCAATGTGCTCCGACTAACGAGCACATTAAAATGAAACCGTGTGCGCTCTGTTTATGGCTGAGGTGGTGCTGTGCCTGCCAGGTGCTGGCAGGCGGAAGCGGCCGTAAATCAGGGGAGTTTTCGTGAACTTGGGCGTTTTCAGAGCGGGGAGGACTCGCTCAGAGGCAGCGCGCGGACAGAATTCTCCCCAAGAATTAAATTTTTAAAGAAAGGAAGACATTTGCGTGAGGACAGATCCTCTCTGGGAGAGTGATGTTCTAAAATAGGGCGGCCGGGCGCCCGGCCCCACCTGGCGACCTGCCTGGGGCTGGGCTCGGGCCTCCCTTCCGACGCGGGAGGCGCGCACAGGAACGAGGCGCAGGGCGGCGTAGGGGGACCGAACCCGCACACGGGAGGCGTGGGGAGAGCGTTTATATGATAATGACAAGCTTTTATTAGTCCTGGCAAATCATGCCAACAAAACGCTGGGAACGTCATGTGAAATTGTAAAATACCTTTATTACTGTATTCAAACCACTCCTGCAGTTACGCGGAATCATAGCTCCCAACCTAGAATTATACAAATGAGAGATGTATTCCAGCCTTGCGATGCATAAAACGCCTCACCTTAAAAAAATACTCATATTAAATATTTAAATTGAGCCCTTTCAGAGATGTTTGGCAACACGCCCACTTTCCCCCTTTCTTCCCACCCCTTTTCGTCGAGACGAGTCCGAAGCCTCTGTCTGCTCTGGTCTCTGTCGGCAGGGCCCTCCCAGCATCAAGAGCAGCGGCTGGAGTGTGACTGGGGTTTCCGCGAACGCAGGCTTCGGGCAGGCTGTGCTCTGCCTCGGGGCGGCCGCGCGGGCAGCAGGGCGGGCGGGTGTCCCCTGCGGCCTGGCCCCTCTGAGGCCCCCCTCCCCCTGGGCCCTCTCCTGGGCGGAGCCCAAGGGCACTCACCTGTCTCAGGGGACGCAGAGACTGCCCCTCCCGTGCCTCCGCACCCTCTCCTGCTGGAGCCCAGATTCCTGCTCTTGAATTTTTCACAGGTTAAATATAGCATCGGCTTATTAGAATCCAAAGTCCTGCGTCGAACAGATTAAACTGACAACACTTCCATCACCGGGGCCCATGCGGCTTGAAGGGAGACGGGATTTGTGCGGCAGGTGGCGCCCCCTCTGCCGTTTGGGGAAGAGCCTGACCCTCAGCCTGTCCCCTCTTCACCCTCCCCAGGGTTGAGTCCAGGGTCGAGTCCAGGCTCTCGCGTCGGGGCGGAGCATTCCTCGTGGGGGGTGGTGCCCGGGGCTCAGAGCCAGGAGGGGCCCCTCAGAACCACAGCCTGCGAGCAGACAGGAGCTGGGCGGCCGGGCCTGAGGGGAAGGCCCCCCGACCCGGGCACAGCGGCGACCCCAGGCCACACAGCGCGGGGCGGGGGCGGGCCAGGGCCATGTCGCCCCAAGGTCACAGGCCGCCGGCCGTCCGGAAGAGCCTGTGCCCAGAGCCGGTGGCCGGCTGCTCCCGCAGCGAATGAGGACGCGGGGCGGCTGCTCCCGGGCCTGGTGCAGGTGCGGCAGGTCCCCGGCAGCGACGCGCCGAGCGCGCGAGTGCGGGAAGGCCCGTGTCCCCCACCCCAGGGCGCTCGCTGGGTCCCGGGAGCGGAGGGACAGCGCCGAGTGAAGGGCGCCTGGCCGAGGCCTGCGGTGGCCCCGACGCAGCCGGCCCCGGCCCGGGCCTGTCGCAGTCCTGCCGCACGACGCCTCCCAGCCGTCGCATTCACGCGGTGTCTTAAAGGAACATTTGTGATAAATGTGCAATTTAACTAATTTATGGTGCTCTGATGTGCTCAGGGCTACATGCAAGATGAAAACCTTAAATGGAGCTTGAACAGCTCACTTCACAACAAGAAATCAATACGCCGCATCTCAGCTCCTTGCTGCAGTCAACACGGAGCGAAAATACCAGGGATGCATCTTTAAGTTTTAGGCAGCAAGAATTCTATAATTAACCGAAATCTTACAGAGCTGGAGAGGGCTGGCTGCGAGGGGCCCGTCTCCCTGGCGCCTCGGCCCTCTGGTCTCCGCAGGAGGAGGACGCACCGGTGGCCGTGGAGGAGGCGCGCTGCCTGGACAGGGCTCAGCACGGGCCCTCGCTGGGAGGCCCTGGAGCTCAGGGCCCCGGGCGACCGCGGCGCTGGGCGGGCTCGGCTGGCCGCCGCCTGCTCTGCAGGCCTGGTGAGGCCACGTGCCTGTGGAGAGGAGAGGCCTGTCACCCGCCGGGCTCGGGCAAGCCAGGGTCTGCGGGTGCCGCGCCACGGACCGGAGGCTGCGTGGCCAGGCGGGCAATTCTCGGGGGCGGGCGAGAGTCATCTCCACAGGCGCTCAGTCACCTCGCGGAAAAAAATCAAGTGACGTTAGTTTTCCAAATCTGTCTGTGCAGCTCTTTTGAAATCGGAAAATTGCAGTTGCCTCGTATTCTGTTGATTATTTAGCACAAAAATAACAGGCTTTGTACTCTAGGAAGCAATCATAAAAATGCACACACACCAGCCCAACACCACTCTTTAATAATAAATACTTTAACTTTAAAATAATAGCGATTATCCTATTAGCTAATGGAGAAATTACTGGTTTTACTCTGTGGGAGGGGAGTCACCCTTTCGGTGAGGGAAACGCGGACCCTCCCTCCGGGGTTTCCTGGTGAGCGTGTGACGCGCTCCTGCCTGGGCCCCAGGCCAGCCGGCGCCTCTCAGCCCACAGCGACCTCTTGCACCTGTGCCGTCCCGGGGCGCCTGGCCTGTGCAAACCCGCTGCCCCCGGCCCCGGAGCCGCCTCACGCCTGGGGTGGCCGCGGCTCGGTCTGCGAGCAGAGGGCTCCTGCCGGCGCCGGGCGGCGTGGCGCTTTGCCACGAGGGCTGGAGCCCTGGCGTCGGTGGGGCTTGGAGGCCCAGGGCCGGCAGAGGAACACGCCTGGGGCCACCCTGGGGGGGTTTTGAGGCAGGCGCCCTGCAACGGGTGGGCGTTGAGGGTGCCAAACGCATCGCAAAGCACCTTGGATTTGGGACCATGTGTCCTGCTCAGCCAACATAGCGGACTTACCGATTGTCGGTCCCTGGCCGGTCAGGCTGGTGTCAGGACGCTGCTGGACAGCGGGCTGGTGACTCAGGAGGGACGGCAATCCAAGTGAGCGGCTTTTTGAGGTTCAGCATTTTGGCGTTGGCACCGCCACCCCTGGCCCAAGAAGCTGGGGTTCGTCACCAATGAGGTCTAACGATGGGAGGCCAGAGGAGCTGCTCCGCCGCTGTTGGGTTGCGTCCTGGACGGAGGTGCTCTTAGTAAACCACCACTGGCCATAAGGACAACAAGTACGGAGACCTCCCCCCAGCGACGAGCGCCCACACCGACTGCTGG